CGAACTCTACAACCTTGTAGCAAGCTGTCCAGGAACCGTTTATAACTTGTCAACAAGCCGGGAAAAAGAAGTGCGCGAACACATCCCGTTGACAAGTTGTTGAAACAGCATCGCTACAAATCTGCTGCAGGTTTTTTACAACATGTGCGTTTTTAAGTGTGTACACACGCAAAATCTCACATCTTGTAACAAGTTTGCCAACAAGCCCTCCACAAGTTGTGTTCGCACTGCTTGTCCCCAGTTGTCAACAAGTACGGAACAAGCTGTTAACAACTTCTAGCAACCTTGTTTATATATGTCAGACTTGTTAAAGTTTGTTCCAACAAGTCCGATACAGTCATGATATAACAATGATATTGTTATAACCTTGTGTCATCAACCTTGTAACATTCTCGTTATAGCATGACTGTATCAGAGTTGTTAGAACAACATTGTAACAAATCTGATAATGTCATCAAGCTTGTTACAAGTTGTTAACAGCTTGTTCCAAACTTGTTACAACAACTGGGAACAGGCAGTACCAACCCTCCTTTTCGACAAATTGTGAGCAGACTTGCAACAATTAACTTGTAACAACTTTTAAACAACAGGGGCCGGTTGTATAAAAACGTAGTTAGCGCTAACTGCAGTTAAAAAGTAGTTAACTCTTTTTCGTTCGCTGCTGAAATAACCAGGGGCCGTTGTTTAAAACTCTTAATCACTTTTTTAATCACTATTTTGTAGTTAAATAGTGATTAACTCTCAAATACGCGCTTTTTATTGGATGACGTTTCCACTAACTATAGTTAACTTTAATCACTTTTTTATACAATCGGCCCCTGTTTGCAGACCTGTAACAACTTGTGCATTTTTACGCGTGTCCGTACATAAAAACACACATGTTACAGATCTGCAAACAAGTTGTTACAAGTCTGCTCTCAAGCTGTCGACAAGTTGTGTTGGTACTGCTTCTTCCCAGTTATTGTAACAAGTTGTTACAAGTCTGCTCTCAAGCTGTCGACAAGTTGTGTTGGTACTGCTTCTTCCCAGTTATTGTAACAAGTTGTTACAAGTCTGCTCTCAAGCTGTCGACAAGTTTTGTTGGTACTGCTTCTTCCCAGTTATTGTAACAAGTTTGGAACAAGCTGTTAACAAGCTTGATGCTATTATCAGAGTTGTTAGGTACAGCCATGATATAACAAGAATGTTACAAGGTTGATGATCCAAGGTTGTTACAATATTGTTATATTATGACTGTATCGGACTTGTTGGAACAACCTTGCAACAAGTCTGACGTTATCAACAAGGTTGTTACAAGTTGTTAAGAGCTTCTTCCAAACTTGTTGACAACTTGGGACAAGCTGTGCGAACACAACTTGTTGACGGATTGTTGCCAGACTTGCTACAAGATGTGAGATTCTCGCGTGTGTGCACGCGTAAAAACACACAGCTTGTGACAAATCTGCAGCAGACGTCTAGCAATACTGTACCAACAATTTGTCAACAGGATGTGTTCGCACTGATTGTTCCCAGCTCGCTGACAAGTTGTCATCGGCTTGTTGACTTGCTAGAGGATGCGAGATTTTTATGCGTGTATGACGCAACGTCGTTAATCGCAAAATCTGAGAATAAAGTAGGTCGTTTGCAACACTGGCTGCAAAACAAAGTCTGTCGAAGTATTTAGTGCAATGTTGGCTTGATTTCAGTTACTGCCTATTCTGCATTTTCAATATTTGTACAGAGATTAGCTTTGACGACATGCATGTATCTATTTAACCCTGTATAAGAATACCGCACTATTGCCACCCAAAACAAACGAAAATGGAGAATAGACAGTAACGACTTACACCAGGCAAACATTACACTAAATATTTTTACAAACTATCCGGCCGTCCATTACGTAAAAACAAACGCATGCATTTTAAAACAAAACAGCCAAACTAATTAAAAATTTGAAAATTATAATTTTGTTATTAATAAGATTTCGTGAAGATTAGTGAAAAAGAAGGAAAACATTGATATTTTTTGTTTTCTTCTACCAAATGTGTACCACGGCTACTAATATGCATTTCAAATCATTCATTTCTTGTTAGTTGCAAGTATAAATGCCATATAATTAACCTCGCTTGCTCGGTATATACAGAGAAATATCGGATCTCGGTCTTTTTGTACAAACCTCACCCTACGGGCTCGGTCTGTACAAAAAAGGCCTCGGTCCGATATTTCATTGTACAGATAGACCTCGCGTTCGGTTAATAAGAAGTTATTCTTTATTGCAAGTTATTGAGTTAAGAATGGCTTAGAAATTTCGCAGATATGAATAAATTGACAACACAATATGTTTGTCATAAAATTTTACTACTGAAATGTTTACACTTACCCAACCGGCACAACAACGATTAAATTATTAGAAAACATCAATATCAAAACAATTATCTAAGTATTCAGCCAATTACACACGCAACAATCTCACGTCTTGTCACATTGTCAACAAGTTGCTACATGGTTGTCATTCACAGCTTCGTTAACAGGTTGTTGAATTTACAGGACGATATCATCAAGTTCTTGGCAAAGGCTGTTATATAATTAAGTTCAACATCTTATATCCACATCCCCAAGCTGGGAACAAGCAATGCAAACACAACAGAGTTTTCAACAGAGTTTTTAATGTTTTGTGATTTTCAAGTCAAAATCGGTTTCGAAAAGCCACTGTATATTACTAACAAATAAAGTTTAGTGCGGCTTTATTGTGATGAGAACAGCCAATTTGTCATGCAAATATCCCCTCTTCTCCCCCCCCCACCCCCTCCCCCCCTTCCACCCCCTGGGAAAGAACGCTGACATCAAAATTAGACCGTGGAGAAAAGACCCGCGAAAAGAACCCGCGACAAAATATCCGCAAAAAACCCTCGACCCGCGAAAAACAAACCGCGACAACTAGACTTCATCATGACTGTAACGCACTTGTTAGAACAACGCTGTAACAACTGTGATAATGCTTGTTAACAGCATGCAATAAGCTGTTGATCCAAAAAGTCCAATGCAGTCATGATATAACAATATTGTTACAATCTTGCGTCACCTTGCCACATTCTTCTTATAGTATGACTGTAACACAGTTGTTGCAATAACCTTGTAACAAGTTTGTTAATGCCGTCAAGCTTGTTTCAAGCTGTCAACAGCTTCTTCCAAACTTGCTACAAAAACTTGGAACAAGAAGTGCGAACACAACTTCTCGACAGCTTGTGAGCAGATTTGTAACAACTTGTTTCCAGACCTGTGACAACTTGTGCGTTTTTACTTGTCTATAGACCACAGTTCTTGTACCAAATATGGAACAAGCTGTTAACAACTTGTAACAAGCTTGATGGCATATCAGACTTGTTACAAGGTTGTTCTAACTAGTCTAACACAGTCATGACGTAACAAGAATGCTACAAAGTTGATAACACAAGGTTGTAACAATATTATTATAGCATGCCCGTTATATCATACCCGACTTGTTGGAACAACCTTGCAACAAGTCTGATAATATCAACAAGGTTGTTGCAAGTTGTTAGCAGCTTGTTCTAAACTTGCTGACAACTTGGGACAAGCAGTGTAAACATAACTTGTTGAAGACTTGTTGACAGACTTGCTACAAGATGTGATATTTTTGCGTTTGTAACAGACTTCACATGTAAAAACGCACAAGTTGTTGCAGGTCTGCAAACAAGTTGTTAAAAGTCTGTTCACAAGTTGTCGACAAGTTGTGTTTCACAATGCTTGTTCCCAAGTGGTTGCAACAAGTTTGGAAGACGCTGTTAACAACTTGTAACAAGCTTGATAGCATTATCGGATTTGTTACAAGGTTGTTCTAACAAGTGTGATACAGTCATGATGTAACAAGAATGTTACAAGATTGAGGACACAAGGTTGTAACAATATTGTTATATCATGACTGTATTGGACTTGTTGGTACAACCTTGCAACAAGTTTGATAATAGCAACCAGGTTGTTACAATTGTTAACATGTTCCTTCATGCTTGTTGACAACTTGGACAAGCAATGCGAATACAACTTGTTGACGTCTTGTTGGCAGACTTGCTACAAGTGAGATTTTTGCGTGTGTAGCTCAATGTTGTTTAGATGGTGTTTCAATTCTAAGTGCTAAATTTTAGATGTTCTTGTAATAACCCTGCGTACAAATTGGTTATATTCTTATTAATTGTGTGTGGTTTTTTTACAGATATTCTCGCGATATTGTTACTCAATATCGTCCTGTCGGGACGCGTCTTTACTTCTCCATTGAAAGTCATGTTCACACCCTGATTAATGCCATTAGATATGCAAATCTTTGTGACGTAAGTACAGTGACATCTCTTCGATTGCAAAAGCTTGTAGCACGTACGCACGTGCACACGCGCAAATCGTTATAGATCGGTAAACAAGTTGTAACAATATATCACGATGTGTTTGATGTGTTCCTGGTTGTTGTGACAACTTTGGAACAAGTTATTATCACCTTGTCACGAGGTTGATGGCGGTAACAGACTCGCTACAAGTTGTTCCAACAAGACTAATACAGGCTCGTTGTAACCAACTTTCTAGCAATTTGTTACGTGCAGACGATATAAGACTTATTGGAACAACTTGTTACGAGTCTGTTGGCCTCTCATCGACCTGGTTACAAGATGATGACAACTTGTCCAAGACTAGTCATCAACTGGGAACAAGCAGTGTGAACACATGCATTTGGTTTTTAACCGTGTCTTATTCTAGATGCTGACTGTTCTACTCCTTCTCCAAAATTCACATAATTCCAATCTTTGATTTAAATAAAATAAGTTCGGTGGCCGAAGTGGTTAGCGCACTTGCCTTTGACCTCCAAGACCGCAGGTCCAAATCTCAGAGCGAACTTTCTCAACGCGACTCGAACCTTCCCAACGCGACTCGAACCCAGTCCCCACGCTAAAAGAGCAAAAGGCAACGCGCCGCCGAAAGTCGTGGACCCCTTCGGGTACTCCGGTCTCCCCCACAGGGAACGTTGACAGGGTGGGTTAGGTAAAAGGGTCCACAGTACAGTAATTGGCATATGCTGCTGTGGTGACCCTGCCCTAGTTGGCAAAGCTAATACAATAAGACAAAAACTTGCTCTATGCTCGTCTAAACAAATGTTTAAGAGGTATTTCTTTTCAATGTATTTGCGATGAAAAGGGTTCAGAACCTAAAATCTATTTGGGGTTCCTTTCAAAATTACTTTGTTTTAGCTTTATTTTGTAATTTACACAGTTTGCAACCTTTTTAAATGCATCTGGCGTTTGAGAAACGCAAAATAATAGTTAAATATTGTCAATTCAAATACAGTTATTATTAATGCTGTATTTATACAGCCATACAAGCAAAACTCACTGAACTTCAGACATCATTTTCTCTTGCATGGTTGAGTTACTCGCCCTATATCACCTCATATTTCAAAATTTTCCATTGCATTCCTTTACCGATATCTTTCTCCGTTCTTGAAATTATTGACCAAAAACAATGGACTGCTTGCCAACGCGGATGGACTGTCTACCATCTTTTGATTAACGATTTCTTTGGCAACGTGGAAAACAGCATTAATGAAGGCTAAGTATGTAACTATGGGAAAACGTAATACTTGACGTCAAGCGCTTTTGATCATAATTATTCACATGTAAATTTGCGCCATAACGAAATGTTAGTATTATTTTTTTCTTTTTTGACAGAAACATTGCGTGTGATTTACGGCGATACAAGACCACCTGAAGCGAAAGAAAATATACAAAAATGACAACTACAGTACTGCTGCCAGAACGTCGAACAGCCCAAAGAGATGCAGGAGCGACCATTTCTTCCACCAGACATCACACCAAAGATGATGCAACAAAAAACATGATCATAAGTCATATACTTATGCATTGTATGTTTTCAATATGTCGATGGCATCGCAAATTTTTTCAATATAAAGGATCAGTCCTCTATATTTAAGAATTTGTGACGCGAAGCTACAAATCTAAGTCGTTACTAATAGTGATTGAGGACCGTAATTTGAAGCAAGAAAAGTTTCGGAACACTATACCTGCAAGTTGCCAGTCCTAACTGGCACCCCCAATATTTCGGGGCGAACTGTCTACCGCCGATGCGAAATTTTGAACCTGTTCGTTTTCAAGGCTGTATCAAAACTATGCCTGTTTATCCCTATGATTAATATAAATAATATATTTCGTTTTCGACGTCTTAGATATTTATATAATTATCACCTCTCTTTTAGGCTGTCTGAAGACTGTGGGAAGCTACAAAGTCCAGTTGTCTAACTGTGACCGCAAGTTCATATATATATACATAGGCCTACTCTGGGCATGCCAAACTCTGGGTATGACATTTTTAACTACAAATCCATTCAACAATTACTTATATCGAGTGATGTGCCCAAAATCCTGAAATTAACCCATACACATGCATCGAGTTAATGGCTACGCGAATTGTATGGTGAACAAAAAGGTGAACAAAAATGCTTTCAAAATTTCTGTACAATTGGAAATATGCCTATCTGCAGAGAAATTAAATTACTTTTCATTTCTTCAAGTCCTTTCATGACTCTTTCCAACCTACTCAACTACAATATTTTTTATTAATTTATCCTGAACAAGTTGTAGCTGAGTTGATTCGAGCCATGTACGGCAGAATTCAACAAGTCGAGTCTGGGCTGTCGACTCGAGTCGAGTTTTTTGTTTCATGTTCAACTCGAGTGGCAGAAAATTGGGACTCTAGTCCGAGTCAATGACTCGACTCGTTACAACACTGCCTTAGTCATGAACTTGCGGTACATGAACGTGGCAGCCACAACAAAAGAGAGGAAATAACGGGAAAAGATTTCAAATATTGCTTTGACTAAACAAACAGGTATTTCGACGATGTATATGCCCAATCTAAATTTGACAGTATATACTTATTTCACTATATATTGCCAGTCACTGTTTCAAAGCAGTGTCTGTGTCTGTGTCCCATTACACATCTTTCCAGAACGTATTTGCAAATGTTCCAGAACAGTAAATGGAGCTTTGTTACAGTACAAGCCATGTAAACCGAGGTACGGTTGTGTTTAGAGAATGAACGTTAAATGAAGTGGTAGTAAACATTTCTGAACCGTTCTGGAAAGATTGTTTAATGTGCTCCTGGTGTGTCACACAATAATTGTACAACAGAATTTAATGCATTGTCTATTTATTTACTTACTAACCCAAACAACTTTAAACTTTGACTTTTACAAGCAAGCCATGTCGCAGCTTTTCAGAAGACCTCTCTCCAAAACACTTCCAAGCGACTGCAAAGCTAGCCTTACAAAGTCACTACAATCATATTATTATGTACGCCTCTATATAAGCCTTATGCAAGTCTCGACTAGCATTGACGCTATATAAACCAGCCATTCATTACAAATCATAGCATGCAACTCACGACATACTGATGCAAATCATGCGCTACAAAAGTTACTACAAATCCTTAAAACATGTTCACTACAAGCATAATTTTTGAAGTCATGCACTACAAGTAATAAATTAAGATTTTTATGTCTGTAAATGACATGGCGATATCTAGTTAGCTAGCTTTAAAACTAATACTAATTTTATTAATTTTAATAACGTTACACAATGCAAAAAAATGAGAGCCGTTGGTTTTCATGAGGAGGATTTGGGTGGTGAGTACAGTGTTACTAGTTTAAATATCCACGATCGGCATTATGTACCGTAAATGATCTAATTAACGCCTGGTCGTTTGTTTAATTGCCAATTGGCATTTTGACTATGCGGTCAAAATTTTTTGATTTTTTGATTTTGTTTTAATTAGTAATTTATATGTTTTTGTATTCACATTTATAGTTATAAAAAAGTTCTAAAAGTGAAAAAGTTTTTTACTCTTGACATATACAAGGTTGCGTGAGTTTTTGCGAGGCATGATGGATGTCCGGGGGG